TAGAAACACGTCGGGCCAGTAGGGATAGTAGTTGTTCCTACTAGGCTCGAGGTGGTGGATACACCCTCACCATCTCGAGAGATGGCCCAAGCTACTGACTCCATCGTCGTCCCGCAAACACATTCGAACCCATCGAGCCTCTGTTCGATGAATGTGTTTGAGTCCTTAGAGGAGCTAGAGGAGGAGTGGTCTAGATCAGACCCGCTAGCTTCTTGAACGGCATTGGCAAAAGCCCCTAAGGGTCAGACGTTCGTCAGCGAGGTAGTCATCGACGTCCGCAAGGTCGGGGCCTATTATGACACTTGCTTGACACATCATTTTATCAGTCGCGCGTGCGTTGAGAGGTTGCGCTTACAAGGGCAAGTGCAGCGCCTGAATCGACCTGTGGAGTCGACCTGTGCCAACAAACAGCGCATGGTAGTCAACGACTACCTTCAAGACGTTGAGTGTCTATTCCCGTACGCGAGAGAGGAACTGAAACATCGCGTCTCGTTCCTAGTCAGCGATGATCTCCCAATGGACATTTTGTTGGGTATGTACTATCTTTCAGGTGCTCAGCCCTAGTTTGACTGGGACCGAAAAGTGGTCAAGCACATTTTTCCAGGTGGGGGAACCGCCAGATTACCTAAGTTTTAGGTTAGTAGTCTGATCGAGTCCTACGGATGCATGTGTGCGGCCGCGTTCTACAATTATTATAAGAAACATCCGGAGGAGGGTATGTATCTAGTTTATGTCTCTGCAGCAGGCGAGCCGGTGAAAATGCCGTCGGAGATAGAGGGAGTAGTTGCTAAATACCCTGATCTATTTGAAGAGCCAAAAGGGGTTATTGAGAGGGAGGTTGTCCATGCGATAGAGATTATCGCAGGATCTAGTATTCCAAAAGGTGGGATCTATCGAATGTCTCCAGGCGAGCTTGATGAGCCCCGCCGACAACTCAACGAACTCGTAGAGAAGGCTTGGATCCGGCCGAGTGTCTCCCCTTACGAATCTCCAATCTTATTTGTGTCGAAGAAGGGGGGAACTTTGAGGATGTGCATTGACTATAGGGGACTCAATGCCATCACTGTTAAGAACCGAGAGGCCCTACCGCGCATCGATGATTTGCCAAATAGAGTGCAAGGGTGTCGGTACTTCATTAAGATAGATCTGAATCCGGGGACCATCATATTGCAATACCGGCTGAGGATCAACACAAAACCGCTTTTCAGACCAGCTACGGTCTGTACAAGTTTGTGGTGATGCCTCTCGGCCTTTGCAATGCTCCTGGCACCTTTCAGCACATTACGAATCAGATCTTTCATGACTACTTGGATAAGTTTGTCATTGTGTATCTCGATGACATACTTATTTTTAGTAGGACTGTCGAGGAGCATGTTGCACACTTAGACAAAGTCCTCAGTCTCCTTCGGCAGCACAAGTTCAAGATCAACGGGGAGAAATGCGAGTTTGGTTGCACCCGGACCTTGTACTTGGGTCATGAGATTTCTGCGGAGGGTTTGAAACCCGATGAAGCGAAGGTGGCCAGCATTCATGATTGGCCACGTCCTCAGTCTGTGACTGAGATGAGGTCCTTCTTAGGGATGACCGGCTACTATCGTAATTTTGTGAACAACTATAATATAGTTGCCGCCCCTTTGACATATCTGACGCGCCTTGACACCCCATGGGAGTGGACAGACAAGTGCGAGGCTGCTTTCAAACATCTGAAGCATGCGCTAACGCACCATGAGGTCTTGAAACTCCCTGATCCTGACAAGCCGTTTATAGTAACCACAAATGCTAGCCAATATGGCATAGGCGTCGTGCTTGCGCAGCAGGAGGGGCCAAAGTTGAGGCCAGTCGAGTACATGTCCAACAAGATGCTCTCTCAGAAGTTGGCTAAATCCAGGGTTGTCAGGCGGGGGCCCCCCAGGGCAAAGCCGAGGTAAGGGTTTGACCCCCGAACACCCGCTGTGGGGGTGCCTCACCCCCGGTCCCCCC